GTTGTTTCCAACTCTTTGCTATTATGAACAAATCCAACATGTAGAAGCTATGTTGGAAAGTATCTGCCTTTCTGAAGCATTTAGTTCCTTCACAAAAAGCGGCCCATCGTAGTTCTTCAAGAGCAAGACCACAGTCTCCCCAGCACAGAAGCCGAGATTCTCCTGGAGCTGTTTTGGATCCCGTCTGTCAGGTGCATTGATGGCCTTTAGGCCACACCTCTTCCTGGCTCCTCTGCCATCCAAGATGCTCAGGACTTGCACTGTCTAAAGAATATCTGCCTTGACATTTCCAATGAGGTCCGGATGACTCTGTGGTTAAATGCTCCATTGAAGGCCCAGCAGTTTGCGCCTACTGGCTGGTCCAAGGGAACAAGATGTGGCGGTCAGCTTCCAGAACGACACAGCCTTGCAACCCTGCGGGGTGACCCTCCTCTGTCCTGCAGGCTCGCTCTGAGTTGGAATCCACCCCCTTGGCGAGGGGTAATAATTTCACACTTGACCACTTAGTTGGTTGAGAATTGGTTTCCTGATCAGTGTTATGTCAGTTGCAGCCATGATGGCCCCATGTAGGCGGAGTAGAAGTGCTCTGTGGGGTTCCAGAGGCTGTAGCTTCTCTAGGGCTGTTTTCTGGGCTCCAAATGCAACCTCCCGGTCAGAAGCAGAGCACATTACCATCTGTGCCACCCCGAGTCTCCTTAACTAGCGGTGCAGGGAGGAATTCCGCCTTGAATGGAGACAGGGGAGGAAATGAGGACTTGCCAGCCAGGGAAGCTCCTGCTTTCAAACCAAAAGATGCATTTCTGGTTTTCCCTACTGACCCCCTTACAGCCTAGCAAGTCCATTGGAAGTCTATGAGGATGAGATGTCCTTCAGCCCCATCCTGTTAGAGAACATTCTCTCTCTCTCCCCTCCTTCACACACACACACACATACACACACACCTTCCCACCCCACACCACATGCAGCACACACACACACCATCATTGCCTTAAGAGCAGAGAATGGGACTTGGGGCCACAGGGCCGTGAGCATCTTTCTGAGGAAGGAGGAAGCCTCAGAACTCCCTTTCCAGGACTTTAAACATTAAAGGAAGCTGGTGAGTATGCTCAGCTCTGTTCACCAGCTGGGTTGACATCACCTGGATGAGTGGAAGTGGGAGACAGGCAGAGTTATGAAGAGCCAGGCTGAGTTTGCAGTTGTTTCTCCAGGACGGTCCACCGAACATGGGGAATGAATGGATCAGGGTCGCTGCTTCTTGGAGCAGGGGTCCTGAGGATCCCTGAGGTGTGGACTTGGCCCAGGTGAGGCTCAGGTGGAGTGAGGAATCCAGCTGGCCTGAAACACAGGAAGAAGTGTGGTTTTCTGAGTTTGCAGCTAATGCCTGCGTGGACCTAGCCATGGACGGCTGGGGATGCGCTGGCCAGAACCCAGCCAGATGAAGAGAAGAAGCTTCCTTCTAAGAGCTAATGTTGATTACTGTTACCTGCTGAGTTTTGCTCTGGGCTGGACCCTTGTTTATAGAGACTGATTAGACTGCAATGGAAAACGCTTCAGAGAAAAAAAGATACGCTTGTTTGCTCAGAGTAATGGTTTGATAAGACTGGGCAAATGAAGAAATTGACTTATCTAAAATGAGGGGATTAAGACATAAAGAGTGAAGTAGCTGGTTTACCTATTTCCCTAAATATACATGATGGGGAGGGGAAAGCGAATCCTTTAGAGAATGAGAAATCCTGGCTAGAAAAGCCCACTTGAGGCTAACACCCCAATCATCCACAGGTGTGTATTCCCCTCCTTTCCCTAGACACACCCACCATCATCTATGAAGCACAACCCAGAAAGGCAGATGCATGTGCGTATATGTGTGTATGCGCATTTATGTGTCCCACAGGGTCCTAAGGCTAGAAATCTTTCCAGAAACAAATTGCCGTATCTTTCCTCCATGGATCAGCCAATGGGTTCACACCACTGACCTTTCTGGTTAACAGCTGAGCACTTAACCATTACACCAAGAGGGCTCATTCATAGATGTGTATCTAAGGGGAAAAGAACCCACCAAGTGCTCTTGAATCTGTTACAGCACAAGTCAACCCTCTATTGGGTTTCCACTTGTTAGAAATCCTTACAAGAGGGAACTGCCCATCTTTTCTCGTGGAGCGGCTAGTGGATTTGAACCACAGACTTTTCCGTTTCCAGTGCAATGTGTGAGGGATTGCACCACTAGAGAGCCTTACATATCTGTCTAGATATAAGGCCCTTATCTGACATGCCATTACCAAATATTTTTATCCCAGTCTGTGGCTTTTCTTTTCACTCTGTTGGAGAAGTTATGGGATTTGATTCTTAGAAGGTCCCATTCATCTATTTTATCCTCTCTTGGTTGTAGATTTTTCAGGATACTTGGAAGACTGTTTTTGTTGTGGATTAGAACTTCTAGAGTTCTTCCAAGCTTTTCTTTAATGAAATGTATAGTCCTTTGTTTTAGTCCCAGGTCCATGATCCATTTCGAGTTGGTTTTTGTGTGTGGAGTAAGGTGTGGATCTTGCTTGAGTTTTCTATAGATAGTTTTCCAATTTTGCCAGCACCATTTGTTGAAACGGTTGTCATTTCCCCACTTAACTGATTTCATCTCCCTGTCAAAAATCAGTTGACCATAAGTAGATGGGCTGATTTCTGGATTCTCTATTCTATTCCACTGATCTATCTATAAAGCTATCAGTTGATAGAGAGACACAGATCTGCAGACACATCGATAGCTCCCCCCACGTCTTTCTCTTTAGCTCACTCTCCCCTCTTCCTCCCACGTACATACTCAGCATCATTCTAGAGGGTGTGTGGATGTAAAGGCAGGGTTGTCCTGCTGTTGGGAGAGGAGCCCAGTGCCCCGGAGAGTCCTGAAGTCTCAGGGTGGAATGAGAGGGTGGTGGGATTGAAGTATGTGGGTGGCAGGTGAGGGAGGGCTACCCAGCAGAACCAGGTATGCTGTCAATTTCACTTCCCTCCGAGTGTCAAGACACCAGGCCAGGTTCGAGGCCTCTTCTGCTGTTAGGGGTGTTTGCTTCACTTCTCATGAACCCCAAGGCTGGGAGGAATGCCCTGCATACCAGAATGTCCATTCTACTTTGAGGAGGGAGGAGCCAGGGCCAGCACTAGCTGGATCAACTAAGCAGAGTACCTGCCTCTTTTGCCCATCCCTGTTTGCTGTTGCTATGGTAACTTGGTGGGGGTTAGGTGCAAGGAAAGAGGAATGATGGGAGGACAGAGTCTGGTCCTCCCCCGAGCCAGCCTTACAGGGACAAGTCGCTGTCCTGCTGCCCACGGGGCTGCCCAACACATCCCTGTAGCATCAAATCATGTGATCATGTGTCCACCTACGGATGACAGACCCTCAGACAGCCGCCCAGGGGACCCTCAGAGCATCCTTTTCACTCTGTTGATAATGAAGAGACCAGGCTGGAAAACAAATTCAGAGACATTTCCTGACGGGCGCTGCAGTCATAAACAGGAAAGCCGCTTCGTTCCTTCCTATCCAGCCAAGTCTTGGGAAAGGCTACTGGGAAGACAAAGAAAAACACACGAAGCTTTAAAACCCCCACAGAAACCCACACACAAGTGGAATTTCTGAAGAGCTAGAATCAGTATCAATAATCTTCTGGGGGGTGGTTTGGTGAGGGAGAGAATGTCAAGAATAGTGCTGTTTTCTTTGTATTGGCTGAGGTTTTATTTTTGTGTTTGGGGGGCTGTGTTTGAAAGGGGGAGGACACAAAACTTTTGAAAATCAAGGATGTTACTCTGTGTTTGAGGTTTCTAGCTCAGCTTCCAGGTCAGAGTTTTGGTTTCTGCTTCTGCAGATGAGGATGTCATCAGGTGGTGGTTCTGGGTTTTGTACAGTAACTTTTTTTTCTTTTTTTTTTTTTAAGTGGCAAGCAAATGGCCTGTCTTAAGAGCACGGAAAAGGCAGGAAAATGTGCTGTGTGTGTGTGTGTGTGTGTGTGTGTGTGTGTGTGTGTGTTGAGAGTCTAGGATTGCAGAGGGAGCCAGGCCTCCCGCTACACACAGGAAGCAATCTTGAAGCAGGCTTAAATGCCAGATTCCAGGCCGAGTTTAACTAACCACGGACAGCTCTGTAAACAAAGGCGGGCGGAGGAGCCTGCCCGGCCCTGGGAGTCTTTTTGGGTTTGGGCAGCAGGGGAAATTCGGCACGGTTTGGCTTCATGGCACAGAATCGCAGGGGGAGAGGGCTCATCCTTTGAAGAGCTGGAAGGGGGAACTCTTTTCCGGGGATCAAGTCCACCACGAGGAGGTAGGAAAGGGTGAAGAAGTTGGATCACATTTGCAAAGAAAAGCCGGGGATTTTGGAGCAGGACTTGCTCTTGACTTGGCTGTTTCCTTGCAAACGCAATGTTTCATTATGTGGATACCGGTGGGCACTGCTGAGGTCTTGACTTTCAACCTCATGTTAATATTGTTTCAGAAGATACAAACTCTACAGAGACTTTTGTAGGATTTGCTTTCTCTCGCTTGCTTTCTCGGAGTTCCCACATAATTTCTCTTCTTGCCACACTTCCTCTCTCTTGTTCTCTTTAACTTTCTTTGTTCACTTTTTCATAACTTCTGTTCAGCACTCTACAAATAACAAAATCCTTCCCAGTCTTCCTGTCCTGAGTGTCCTAATATTTTGAGTCTTCAGAACCTCTCTAATGAGGTCTTTATTTTATTTTAACTGCGATCCTGGGATATTCTGTGTCTGAAGTAGTTGAATGAATGAGACTGGATGTAGCACGTAAAACACTCCCTTCAGGAGAGAGATATTGGCCTCTGGTGAGTCTCTGTCTGGAAGGGGGGGTCTGTTAATAGTAGAGAAAAATGAGGAGGTGGGAGTGGGGAAGGAAGTAGCTACTGAGATTCCCTGGGAGATGGATTCTAACTCCTCTGTTATTGATTCTTCTTCCTCCTTTAGATCCTGACCCGTCCTGGGCTCCTGAACCTGAAACCACACCATGGATGACTTTGAACGTCGCCGAGAACTCAGGAGGCAGAAGCGGGAAGAGATGCGGCTGGAAGCCGAGAGGTGAGGAGGTGGTGATAAATGTTCCAATTCTCTTATTAACAAAAGATTTGTCCTGAGCCTCAGAGACGAACCCTCTGAAGGGCGAAATGCTTTTGTCTCTAACTCAACTGTTTGCAAAAGTAATTATAAAGAATTTTCTGGTTAAAACTCCAGAAGCCTTGGTATCAGGTAGTTAAAGCGCTTGGCTGTCAACCAAGAGGTTAGGAGTTCAAGCCCACCAGTTACTCTGTAAGAGAAAAGTGTGGTTGTCTGCTTCCAGGTCGTGGAGTCCACTTCGACTCACAGTGACCCTCTGTCGGGGTCCTAAGGTGATAAATCTTCATGGGATGGATTACCTTGTCTTTCATCCCTCAGAGCCGTCAGTGGACCCACCTTTCTGTTAGCAGCCCGACAGGTAACTGCGTGCCACCAAGTCTCGGCCTTTGCAATCCCACAGGGCAGTTCTAGTCTGTCCTCGGGGGTCACCAGGTCAGAATCCACGCTGTGGCCCTGGGTTTTGGTGGGGGCTAAGATTCTGAATTCTGTATTTCAACAGATGTTGAGACAAAGGGTCAGAAAAAAAGAGAACTTGGAGGAAAGTCAGAGTTGCATTTAATCAGATGGTTGATTTGGGAATTTTTAAGTGGCAAAAGCAGTATGTAATAAAGGTTAGAAAAGTATTGATCCACAGAAATGACAGGAAAATGCTCAATATTGGACATTCCAGCCAGTTAAGCAATGGGACTTTTTCTGCAAATATACAGCCACTAAGTGAAGACAGGAGCTCTGGTGGCCTAGTGGTGAGAAGCTGCCCTGTAATCCTGAAGGCATGCAGTTCGAGACCACCAGCTGCTCCGTGGGAGAAGGATGGGCACTCTCCTCCTGTGTGATTAACTGTCTCTGAAAACCCACCAGAGCGTCGGCTGTGGGTCGATTCCAACTTGACAGCTCATAATAGCAAGTGAAGACAAGCGGTAAATTGCACTGAAGGAGATTGCCCATTTTTCTCCTAAGGAGCAGCTGGTGGATTTGAACCTCCTACCTTTGAGCTGGCAATGCAACTCTACCACATAACAATAACAAGTGAAGACAAGGAGCCCTGGAGGTGTAGCATGTAATGTACCACACTGCTAATGGAAAGGTCAGTAGTTCAAATCCACCATCTGCTCCAAGAGAGAGAGAAGAGTGAGATCTTTCTGACTCATAGAGACCCTGTCCATGCACATCGAGCAAAGCCCTGCGCGAACCTGGACCACCTTCGTCATCTCTGGTGTGCTTAGTCCTATCGTTGCAGTCCCTGACATCAACTAAAGAGGGGCTGGCAACCAGTGGATGTGTGGCTCTGGGAGTTCTGAGAATCTGCAGTGGGGGGTCGTGTGGCTGTGATGTGGGGTCAGTTGAGGAGGCCTGATTAGGGTTAAAGCGGAGGTCAGTGGCATTTCATACGGCTCGTATCACATCTTCTTTTTGAGAAGCTGCAGCACTCACAGGAAGAAGGTTGCTGAAAGACTCCTTGAGATCAAATCCTTTTTTCCTCCCAGTAATCTCAACGCTCAGGTGAAAAGGCGAGCAAGGCTCCTTAGTGACCCTGACGTGGTGGTGTCAGCTGCCAAGGGGTCCGCCTGGCCTCATGGTGGCACCAACAGCCCAAGTGCCCCTGTGTCCTCCCATGGTGGACTGTGGGTCACACCATTGTGGCTGTGGAGTTTTCTGGCCTTCTTCCTAGTGTGCCTTCGTCTGGAATTTTCACTGAAACCTGTTTAGCACATAGCAATGTGCAAGACTCCATCAGCAGATGATAGTGGCTCTGCTTGGGAACTGGATGCACTGGGTGGGAATCAAACCTGGGTCTCCTGCATGTTGGTGTTGTTCTTAGAGGCTATCCAATCGTCTCCAACTCAGCAATAGGTTGAAACTCTGCCTGATCATACCTCATCCTCACAGCCTCCCCTGTGTCACTCTCTCTCATTGAGGGTCTTCTCCTTCCCTGATCTCACTTTTCCAAGTATTGTATCCTTTTGCAAGGGCTTGGCCCTTCCAAAAACATGTCCAGAGCAGGAGAGAGGAAGCCTCATCATCTTTGTTTCTTAGGAGCACCCTGGCTGTAGTTTCCCCAAGATCGAATTGTTGGGTCTTTTGGAAGTCCGTGGTATAGTCAGTGTTCTTTGATAATGCCACAATTCCAAGCTATCAATTCTTCTTCGATCTTCCCTATTCATTGTCCAGCTTTCAAAGACGTAGAAAGCAATTGAAAACACTATGGCTTGGGTCAGATGAACTTCAGTGTTAAAGTCCATCTTTACTCTTTAGGGTTTTACAGAAGTCCTTGGTAGCAGATTTGCCCATTGTAATACATCATTTGATTTCCTGACTACTGCGTCCAGGCGTGCTGATGTGGACTAGATCTCCACAATGGGTGGGTCTTCCATGAGTACATCTTCTGCATAGAAGGAGGGAAGTCTACCTCTGAACCAACACTGTCCTCTGAACCCTCATGCACTGAAAACTTGTATCTACATCAGGCAGTATGGAGTTTATGATACACACACACACACACACACACACACACACAGAGAGAGAGAGAGAGCCCAGGGACCAGTGTCTGGATTCTGTGGATTCAAACCTCTAGTCCTACTATTTATGAGCTGGTGACAGCGAGAAAGTGACTTTTCTTTAAGCTATTAGAAACAGGAATGGCATCCACTTCCTAAAGAACATGTCTCCAGAAACTCTATGAACTTTGATAAATGTTGTAGTTGTAGAGGGACTTCGGGCCTTTTGCTCATAAGGTCGCTATGTGTCATGCTCGACTCAAAGGCAATCAACAACAACATGGTTTTCTTATTTGTAGAATACGGAAAATATCCACATAATTTGTGTGGTTGTGGTGAAAATCAAAGGTTGGCCAGTTGCTGGCCCACAGCAAACTTTCTACAAGTGGCATTATTATTATTTTCTATGTTGTTATTAATACTATGATTTTATCAGCATTGCCATTCACTAAACAAGCAAACTCTAATCATCTAGCTCAACTAAGCACATTCCTTGGGCGTATTAATAAAAGGGGCCAGTCCCTGGAGAGGGGTATCATGCTTGATAGAAAGTCAGAGAAGAGGAAGCCCCTCGAGGAGATGGATTGACACCGTGTCTGCACCCGTGGGCTCCATCAGAGCAGAGACTGTGAAGATGGTGGGACAGGACCAGGCACTCTCTGTTTCTTCTGAACCGAGGGTCACTGAGCCGAAACAGACTCGTCAGCACCTAACACCAAACACTGATTCCAGGAGAAAGGCGGGTAGTCATCATCCTGTGGTAGAAAAGTCAGAGGACACTTCTTGGAGGTGGTAAGCCTTGAAGGGTACAGCGATAGTGCTGACGAGTCAAAGGGCATCAGGTGAGAGAGAACACCAGCGGAAGTCCAGAGGTGGAAGCAGGAAGTGGTGGCAGGAACCTGCTGCATATTGAAGCCAGGACGAGCCAGACTGTGTTTCATGTAAAGCGCCGCTGACTGAGGCAGCAGGGGCACCGTGCGGGAGGCACATGTGTCCTCCTTGAGTATGAGACTATCAGCCCTGAATAGTTCACCTTGAGCATGTGATTCTAAGGTCAGGGAGGGTCAGGCAGAGAAATGAAGAAATGCTGAAAGACCAAGTAGGAGGATCCCAGTGGAGGGAGCATTTGCAAACCTTTTAGGAAAAATGGAAACTCTGAGGCCACTCCAGAAAACAATGTGTTTCTGAGGATCGGACAGAGGGACTTGGCTTTGCCCACCATGGAGAAGCGGGGACGTTTCCATTCATGGAGCTGAAGGCCCGAGAGCTGTTAAAATTCATGTCTAGAAACCACATCCAAATGGAGATTTCCTCCAGGTATTTGGAGATAGACATTCAACATTTTCAACCGTTGTCCACCAAGGGCGATAAGTTGTTATCAGAAAAGCTAGTCTGGGACCATGTAGAATGGGTGGAATCCGTTCTTCCTTTCTGAAGATGGATGGTAGCAGTGACATTCTCAAGGCAGCACGTGAAGACAGAGCTTATAGATGGACTGGAAACTATCACAGGGACAAATTCCAGGATTCTGGTGGAGAACTCGTGAGCATGGGGCACAGTGCTCCGCGGACATGGGGACCTTGTGGACAGTGCCCAGTATCCTTATTTTCCTAGTGATTTGTTACTTGGCTTCGAGTTCTTCAAGAGTCTTTAGAAAGCAACTTCACCTAATAGATATTTATTTCGCACCAACCAGGTTTTGGTATCTAAGCTAGAAATGGAGAGAAAGTGGTGGTGAGAAAACAGTTGGCCCGGTATCCAGCTTTACACACGCCTAACAGTAGGCTAGGACACACAACAGTAGCAGGCTCAGAAAATTAGTGAGGTAAGAGTGATGGTCAGAGTCAGGGCTGGAGGACAGGAAGAAAGATGTGGATATTGGGGATCAGTCTAGACCACTATCTCCAGCTTCTTTGCTTTCTGTGTGAGAATGGAATCAGGGAGTCAGTGTGAACAGCAGAGAACTGACTTGAGATGTTTAATCATTGTCTAAATTTCTCTTGTATACTGTTAGGCGGGGCAGCTTAGAAGCCAGCCTCCAACACCTCCCATCTCCCCAGGTAATCGAAGAGAGGGACATCATACTTGGGAGGGTGGAGGGACAGCACAGGAGAGGAAGGCCCTCTGTGAGGTGGATTGATTCAGTGACTGGGATAATTGGGATGGGAGTGTCAGAGACGGTGCGATTGGCACAGGACAGAGCGGAGTTTAGGGCTGTTGTACATAGGGTCGCTATGAGTCGCAAGCAACTCGACGGCACATAACAACAACTGTTATAGGGCCAGAGAATGCTTTACAAACGGGGGGAAAGTACCTTATGTTTTATCTGGCATTAAATAAACTAACTGAGATGGAGTCAACACTTTAGAGACAGGACTTTATCTGAGAATGGGCCACACTGCTACATTGTAGGCCAGCTCTTCTCATTTGCTGTCTTTCTTGGAAGGACTTCTCTTCCTTTAATTGTAG